TTCGCCAGTCCATCTCGCCCATCTCCCGAGAATGATCGAGGGTGCAGGACAACCACGTGGGATTGACACGACACCCCACCTCAACCACGCTGCCGTGAACGTCGCACCCGTCTGTGCTGTTGTTTTGTTGCGCAATGGCATAAAACGATGACATATGTACCGCCCTAAATAGTCTGGTGTCCGAATTGAGCTGCAAATCCAACAGTCATATCATCTCGATTCCTCTCGTCCGGGTGGCCGCCACGGTGACATTCCTGCGCTCCGACCTCCGGCTTCGTATTCCAGTACTCGCCCGATTGGTACTCGGCCCACGCACCCTCAAGCTTCGCGTCCTCTTTCCCCGCCCTTGCGGCAAAGATGCCGAACCTCTTGACGGCCCCCCAGCCCATCTGGAAGTGGGTCCCCGTGCCGAGCACGGCCGCAATCTCCTCCGGCCCGCGCGCCTGGGCATTTTCGGGCAGAAGCGAGAGTAGATTTCCCCCCGCAATTAGCGCGGCCCGGGACGCGATGGATGTCGGACTGCTGGCAAGCACCGCCGTTTTCCGCATGAAGATCCAGCTCGCGATGAGGAGAAGCAGCGTCGCACCGAGCAGTCCTTCCAAAACGCGTGTCGAGAGAGCGTCTTGCACGACGCGACGACGTGCATCGCGAAGAGTAACGGTGGCATCGAAGACAAGCTGCGCGTCGTTGTCGCCGGGTCGGGGTTCGGCGAATGTCGCGTTGGACACGTTGGCCGGTTGTTGGTTGAGCGCGAGCGACTGCGCGATGATGATGCCATTTTGGAACTTGATCGCCTCCATGACCTTTTCGTCCGCAGCGGCGTCGCCCAGATCGAATTCCGGCACAGCCCACGGCGAAGTGGTGAGTAGCTGGAAAAATGGCGTCATTTGGCCGGCTCTCTTATTGTCCAAGCTGGCGAGACTGTTGTCGACGAACAACACCTCGTTCGTCCTGGCAAGTCTCATTCCGTTCCCAGATTCGTGAAACCCTGGCAGTGTCCTCCCGGGGTCGGGGCGGTTTCTGCTTGTCGATATCAAGAACGGTCCCGGAAAAGGTGACATCAACGTCCACGGCCTCCATCGTCATGTTGCAACCCAGAGCGGCAACATGCCGGACAACAGGTTCCGCTGCGTAGTCCATCTTGCCCCAGATGTGAACAAGGTCACTGCATCCTTTGATTCCATGATCATCAAACCCCTCCTTCGCCAACCCAAAGTAAGTAGTCTCCGGGTTCGTCCCGAACTCGACATCATACTCCTGGGGCCTCACACAGCCTTCGCCTCCGATGTCCAGCCGGAGTGGATTCACAACGGCGCCAAGGGACGATGTCTCGAGGGTAAGGTTGGTTCGGATCATGGAACGGTCGTAGAGACGGCAATGCATCTTCCCTCGAACGGCGGGGACAACTACGTCGATGGATACGGATGAATCGTTCAACATCAGGTCGCTTTGGGCTACCGAAGGATCGGAAAATACGAGTTGGGGGAACGCTAGATCCTCGTAGGCGAGTTTGCCGTAGGTGTAGTTACTCGTAAGTATCAGAGATGACACTTCGGCTGCTCGCAAGTCGCTGTAGAAGCTTGCCGGGTTGTGAGCAAATGACTGGTTAGCCCGGAGCGTCACAGAGCTTTCGATGGGCAGGGGAATAGGTGTGGAAGAGAGAAGGCGAGAAGATGGTGAAGAAGGAAGCCGCGACGACCGCCAAAGTCGCAGTGAGTGCCCCGATATTCGACACCCGGATCTCCCTGTACAAGAGGCGAGGAAGGGACATGTCCAAGAGATCGAGAGACATGAACGCCTGGGTGCCAACTTGCCGGTTGAGTGTGACATAGGGCGCGAGACACCGGATCCGAAACTCCATAGCGGAGACGACCATGGCGACGGCACCTAGTACAACGGCGGGAATGGTGGTCCACGTGTAGTGGATGAATGCACCTTCTCCCTCGTCGCCTAGGCCATCGTCCTTGATCGACTTGCGCAACATTACCTCCACAGCGACAACCAGCCCCGCAAGAATGACACACAACGTCGTCCGCGTGGCCGGATGGACAATGGCCGGATGAGCTTGGAGCGATCTGATTTGAGGGAAAGGTTTAGCGCCAGCGAATTCGCCACCGCCGGCATCCCGAAGGGAGAATCGTTCTTGGCCTGTGGAATCGACCATATTCTCTGAGTAGAAATGCGTGCTCTCCAAGGCGTTTCCAAGCTGCTTGTCACTCGCCGTGCCCGAAAACCGCAACCTTGCCACCAGGTCGTCGCTCTGCTGGATCAGTGAGGCCATGCCATCGTGCTCGGGTTGCACGGCAGGATGCCAGAGGACGGCACCAAGACCAACGCGACCAATATGATCATGGTGCAAAAGGCCAGGATACCCGCCATCCAGTGAGCCGCCCAAGCCCGAACCAGCAAACGATCAGCAAAGACGGTGGCGGTCCCCCGTACTTCGACAGAAGCAGGCTCCAACAGTGCTTGCCTGGCGATGATGGCAGTGGATTGTTGATAATAGCCTTCTGCCAGTTGGTGAAGGGCATTGACATCGAACAACGATGCGGCCGACGCGCCTGACGGGACCTGAGTTTCGATGGCCAACTCCATGTAACTGTCAACGTCAACCAAGGTTTCGGAAATATTTACCCCAATCCTAAACTGTTCCTGACCTTTCAGGTTGTTCAGAACAGAGTTGGTGACGTTGAAGTGAGCAGTCGCAACCCCCCAGGGGTCGACAGCGTCGAGAGTCCTGATGAAGCTGCTAGGAACAGGTGTGAGATTTATGATATCAGCTCTGTCACGTACCACCTCAACCTTGCCGATGTTGAACTTCGGGATGCAAAGAAGCTGGCTCGATCGTTGCAGGGTAGCGTTGAACGGATGCCTCGGAACAGGAAGATGGGTGCTGAGGTTCCTGGACGTGTCGGTGACGTAGTTCATACCCCCAAAGAGAACGAAGATTCGTCTCTCTCTACCCAGCTCCCCATCAGACCCGGTTCCATCGCACCATACGGGAGCGTAGCGGGCAAAGGTAGTTGTACAGTTGTCGCATCGATAGGTTGGCCCGTTCAGCTGCAACAGCCGAATCTTGCAATCCGGGTCTGTCAAAAGTGAGGTTCAGTTTTTGGTCCGGGAACTGCGGCACCTGTGGCGCTGACCCTCTCAGGATCACCTCTGTAGGTTGACAATCCAGGGAACCCCGAAAAGCGTCGACTGTGACATTGGTCCTTTCTGGGGTTTGGCTGCCACTTTGGATAGTCTGAAAAGCGTAGCCGCCAAAAAGCCCATCGGGGTATGTAAGGTTTCTCTGCGCATGTCCGCTCATCATGTAGTAGGCGAGGGTCCCAGAGTTTGCAAGTCCGGCGTTGCTGTTCTTGAAAACACTCTGAGCCACCATCGGATAGGAGTCGTAAGAGACTGGCGTCCAGGAGAGAGTGATGAGACCGGTGGAGATAATGATGAGGACTTTGAGCAGAACCGAAACCGCCGATGTGATGCAAACGATGAAGTTCTTGTTTCTGGCCGCTTTGAACACGGACCAGGGTAGGAAATCTGAAAGATAGTCTAGCTGTAAGGTGCGGGTTGGATGGCTGGGTCGGCGTGACAGGCGAAGCCATGGGGCGATGAGCTTGCTCTGGTGGTCAACTCGGGCCCACAAGACGGCAAGAAGGGTGAGGAAAGCGGTTGGTCCGAATCTCTAAAGATAACGCTGATTTGACTGTCCGTTGGCAATGCCGCTGTGTCGTTCTGACTGCACGAGGAGGCCTTCTATCGCCGCGAGCACGAGTAGCAGTACCAGGCCGAAGAGGGCGAGGAAGGAGCGGCGAGGTAGGGTGAGCGCCATCGTAATGTCTGCTGGGCGATCTGCTTCGCAGCCTTCGGGCTGGCATCGTAGAGTGGTGGAGATGGTTGGCGGAGATACTCATGGTTGGTTTCCGGATGTTCAAGCGGCTGTAAGGGTTGGTATTGGTGCCCCGCCCATCCGCGAGACTGCGGCCATGGACATGGGTGCGGCGACGTCGCAGAGTCGACCGGGTGCCTTGCTTCCATTGCCGTGCGATACGTCGGTGTTGTGCGATGCGTCGGTGTCGGTACCACCAACGACACGGCGACATATGGTGTTCCGGAATTTCGGGTGCATTTGAGACACTTCGTCGTTCACATCCATTGCCGGGATGAATCGAGAGGATAGCGCTGAGTCCGACCTCGGATTTTAGACTCTTCCTTTGGCGGGCCCCTGGATCCTTTCGAAACGACATCGCCAATCCCCCTGTGCCGCGCCCTGTGCGCCCAGCCATCCCGCAGTTCGGGAGCCGCGCTTCGCCCCATTCCCAGTGGCGAGGATCCGTTTGTCCTAGGGTTAGTTATTCCGCAGCCACAATGCCAATCTGAACCTCATCCTGGGGTCTGCCTTTCCGATACCTGCGCGACGCTTGGCTGCCAAGCCTTCATCGTCGACCGCGCCGCAATGCTGGTTGCTGTCTTGAAATGTGGCGATGACGCGCCGTACTGGAAGTTTAGAGACGCTTGTTGTTCTTTGCAGAACAATAGACAAATTGAATGAGTAAGTGCTTGAGCACTCCTTGCGAAAAAAAAATGGAGTGATGAAATTTTCGAGCGAGCCTCCCACTTCGCAACCGATGTTCCTTCCTTGCTTCCGGCAACACCGACGCCCGACCCCACATCACACAGGACATCGACCGGCTGCCGGCAAACAGCTGACAATGAACTGCATCTGCTGATCCGACATCATTTCTGCAATGCAATTCGTTTGCTTTCACCAATATACCTGCTGCGATTGGAGCGAAGAGGGTGGTAAACAAAGCCCCTTTTCGATCAGCGCTCCAAGCAGTCCCCACTTTCTCAACCCTCAAACCCCCAATCGCAAAACCGCGGACGCCGCCCACCTTTTATTTGATGAATCTTGGCCGTCATGTGACCAAAATGAACACAAGATAAAAAAAAACGCTGCCCACGATCCACAACATCCAATCCATCGTCAACAACAAACAGCCTGGTTAGCTCAGCTGGTTAGAGCGTCGTACTAATATCTTAGATTTGAGATATCAAGTAATGCGAAGGTCAACAGTTCAATCCTGTTACTGGGCAATAAAGCTTTCTTTTTGCATTTAAGCGTGTCTGCTCTCAGAAGAGTTTCCCGGAACAAATCTCTTCGCAACCGCTATTACATGCTGTTTCCGCCAATAATCTTCCCTTCTCTTCATCGATTACCAAGTCCCAAGCTCGTCAAACCTCTGTCTCAATCCCCTGCTCCTTCTCCCCATGATGCCCCAACCCCTCCACCTTCCCCTTACTCTGCCTCGCCTTATCCACCATCCAATCTAGCGTCCTCGTGGCCTTCCACTGCATCACGCCCCGATGCTTCCGATGCAACTGCTTATGATTCCTCTTGTAGTCCTGCACCTGCGACACAACACCCCTCCTCCCATCATCCTCATCGCCTCCCTTCCCATCGAGCAAAGACGACGCCCTGTTCTTGATCTTGGATGGAAAGCTCTTGACCGTCTTCACAGGCCCTTCGTTGTCCCCGTCATCCGAGCTAGAGTCATCGCCCGCCTTGCGTAGCATCTTCCGCTTGTTGATCTCTTCCTGAGAGCTGCCCCTTTTCGGGAGCCCGAACTCGTCCTCCGAGTCAGAGTCCGTATCTGAGTCCGAGTCAGATGAAGACTCCCAGCTATGCAGCGAGGATGACTCCTCACTGTCCTCTCCCATCTTCTCATCATTCACAGTGTCGAGTACCTCCATCACCCCTTTCACATCACCTTTCTTCTCCTTGCCTGCGTACGCCTTGTGATACCCACTCAGTCCGCGCCAGAACCGAACCTTCAGCTCAATCTCGCCGAGCGGCTCCTCCCCTTCGTCAAGTCCGCGGTAGTCAGTGCAGCTCTTTGCCCGACGAAGCTGGTGCTTCCCGCCCTTCCAGACCTTGACCTTCACGGTTTGTTCCTCCTCATCGGGGATACCCGTGAGCCACAGAACAGCCAGGTCAGGGTTATCCTCAGACATGAACGAAGAGTCACAGAAGTGGATCACCACTGGTGACGCATACCGCTTCGTGACACCCAGGAAGACATTCTCATCCTCGTGTTTGGGTTTCCAGACTCCTTCCTCCTGATGCGAGTACATCTTCGCCTTGTTGGTCTTTGTACGCAGCTTCAGCTTACACCCCTTCAACTTTTCAGGGAGTTGGTCGACAGCCTTGATTGCACCAATGACCTCGAGTGTCCCATAGTCCCAACCTGTCAACTCCTTCGGCATCTTGAGCTCGACGCTGCGCCAGACCATGCTGATCCTGGCCCGGCCATACCCAATCCCTCCGGCAAGAGGGTAGGTGCCCATAATTTGGCTGCGGCTGTCAAAGACTCGCCTCAAGGGCAGATACACGACACCCAACAGTGGATCATTCTCTCCCTCGCGACTATCGCGCACTGAGACAATCACCTCGGCAGTTCTCCAGTCCTTGACAAACCGCTCGGTACCAGCGTTGAAGAACGGCTTTGCGTTCTTGGGCTTCGTCCGGGTGCGGTAGATCTTCTTGTGGTTCAGAATGACGGTGCAATAGCTGTCAGGGAGCTCGCCTGACTGCTCGGACTCGTCCTCTCGGTCCTCGCCTTGGCCGCTGCGACTGCGGTTCAGCTTCGCTACTTCCAGCCCTGTGATGTTGTGAATTTGGATGCCCAGGATTCCGCTAGGGTACTCCTCGGGTGGTGGCGCAGAGATGATCATCATGTCCTCGAGCTCCTTGCCGTCCTGCGCCTCCTGCTGCTTCAGCTCATCACTGACGTCGCGAGAAGCCATGGCCTCACGGAGCTTCGACCTCGCATCCTCAGACACACGCTCCTTGATGCCGTCGATACTTCGGATACTGGGCTCAAACGTCTGCTTGTTGAGCTGGCATTGCTGGATGTGCGCCTTCGAGAAGTATCCCACTGACCAGGTCAGGGTCCCGGGCATCTTCTCATCAAGATCATCTGCCCGCAACTCATCCTCCCGGTCGCACATCCGGTTCTTTGTGCGCGATCCGTGCATGATCTCCTTCAGGTTGACCTCTACGCGTCCGAGATCGTCGTCGGCAGTATGTTTATCTGAGTCCCAGAGCTGGAGCCGCAGTGTCTCCTCGGCATTGATCTCATCGGAAGTCACCAGAACCATGGCCCACTCATCCCAGTTCGGTTCTTGCTCTTCCTTGATGATGCGCGTGCATGCAACCGGCTTGCCAAACTTGCCCCAGGATACGCTGACGTAGCTGTCGCTGGACCCTTTTTTGAGCGGCCCGAGGCCGCCGTCGCCCTCCTTGAAATCCCGCGCTCGCTTGATGTGGACGAGCATAACACCGCGGGCGAGGGTGTCCTTCTTGAAGTCATCGCCCATCAGCATGTCCTTCAAGTCGAGGGTGAGAGACTTCGGGGCGACGTATTCTGCCAGCGCGGCATCGATGGACGACTGAACGAATGATGAGATGAGTGGGACGTTCATGAGGTTGAGACTGTGCTTCGACAGCGGCACGCACGACAGGTCAGCTCGAGGCTGGCCCAGGAATGTGAGTGTGCAGAGCTGGAAGAAGGGCGGGTCAGGCGTGAGCTGGAGACGGAGGCGCATAATGCCGACAATTCCTCGCAGCTCTACCCAGACAGGAACGGCAATGTTGCCAGGAAGATAGAACTTAAGGTAGAGATGTGCGTTCTTGGCCTTGCTCTTGATGGACTTGCCCGAGGTCCGCGCTCGGTAGGCAAAGGCCAGCTCGAGGTTGACAAAGTCGCCTTCTTCCGCCTCCATCCCTTCCTGAACCTCCTGGTCTTGGCCCGACTGTTCATCGCCCTTGTTGGGAGATTGCTCATCCTGCTGGCCTTGTCCGGCCACTTTTCGGTCATTGTCCTCGGCCGGCCGCAGTTTGCCGTTGCTGTCGACTGACTGCCCTGCAGCTCCCGTTGGAAGCCACCGGATACCAAGAATCCTAAAGGCCTCGCTACCCTGACCGATGTCGTCGACGCTGACCATCCGCACAATCTTGGGCAGCGACGCTTGCATGACGTCCTCGAGGGTGTCGACCAGCGCCGAGAACAAGTCAGGGTTGATCAGCCGCCAGACAGAGGCGAGCATGCTGTTCAACCAGGCAGCGGACTCTGGAAGTTCGATCTCTGAGTCGTTCCGCTCGATCTCCTGCTGCCGTGCGGCGTCCCAGACCTCATCCTCAAGGATGTTGTCGACCTTTTGTGACAGCCAACCGTGCGCGCCGTACAACCCTGCCCCTGCCACAGCAGTCAGCACCGCAAGCATGAGGCCCACTGTGAGCCACGGCCGCCTAGCAGTCTCATGTCCCCCAAGCCAACCTCCAGAACTCTCATGTCGCATGAGCATACTCATTCCACCGACGACGGCCACTCCGAACAACGCAAAGCACCCGACCGCCACCAGGAAAGCCTCCTGGAAAGCAGCCACCATATCTCCTTTCACCTCTCCCACCCTCGGCCCTGGAAATAACCCCCTCATGCCCTTCAACCCCCTCTCTCCGGTCCTTCTCTCCTCTTCTAGTTGATGTTCATCCTTCTTCTCACATTCCCCGCCTGTCAGGGTCTCCACCTGTTCCCCCGCCCCTGGCTCGTTCTCGGGACATGCGTGGAGATCACGGTCCGTCATGTCATGTATTACCACAGGCAGGTGGGTGACAGGATCGGTGACTTCGCGGCCGTTCCCAGAGCGCTTGGCTTTCTTCATCGTCTTGCGCTTCTCCTTGGGATCGATGGAGCCAGCGACGGTCTCGGTGGCGGTCTGTTTCTTCTCGTCGTGCTTTTTATGCTTGTGGGATCCATCATCGTCGTCGTTGGATTCCTCCTTGGCGCTGTGATTGTCGTCGTGATCCCCGCCCTGGAACCCGGGCTGGAACTGGGATTGAGATTTGTCAGGGGGGCCGTCGGCGTTTCGGTTTGCATGCGGGTACGGTGTGTGGCCGTCTTCAGGCTTGTCTTCGTCTTTCGCAATGGCCTTGAGCGAGTCGTAGGCGCGCTTGGTCTTGGAGTCGGAGGGTTGCTGGGAGTCTGCTTCGGCCTGATCGCTTGCGGGGATGTCTTCGGTCTCGTCCTCGCGTCGCTTTAGCTCGGCACGGTGCTCACGATACCCCCGGACGGTGGGCACGGGATGCTTCGCCGTGTAGGGTCCGCCGTGAGCCCGTCTGGTGCCGCGATCTTCGAAGTCGTCCATGTCTGCGACGTTGGTCTATCAGATGGTTGGTGATGCAATCCAAAGCATGCCGTCGAAGTGGTGTTGTCTGCACGATTTGTGATGGCCGTGGAGAAAAAGCAGAGAGAAGGAGAGCCCCCTGCCATTGTTGATGACGGCCATCTCGAAACACAAGCAAGAAACCTGTTCACACAAACCGTATCCCGAGAACCGTGGAGCACACATTGGTTGGACACGCGGTGCGAAGCATGACGTCGGTTACGTCACTGCCAAGATTGTTGGCTTGATGGCGGGGAATGCCAGGGTTAGGGTCAATGTCAACAGCACCAGTCTGGCGCAACCACTGTTGGCCGGGGAATTGGGCCCGCGCCGAATATTAAAAAGGTGTGATGAAGTGAAACAAAACGAGAGTTATAATAACTGAGACTTGAAGGGCGGAGAAGCGTGTCGTTGTTGAGGAGCTCCTCGCTTGCATCACCCAGCCATGCAGGCACCGTTCCTTCCCAGTTGACCCTCCCCTCCTCCGCCTTAGCTCCACGGCACGGGGAAGCTAATGTGGGCAATTAAACCTAATTCCCCAAGCTCTTTGGATAAGATAAGCAACTCTTGAGCTGTTGCGCGGTGGAGCCCAAGCTACTGCGTACCCTGCATCGAGCCCAACGTACCCTAGAGCGGCCCTGCCCGGCTTGGAGTCGACTCCCTCAACCCCTCGGAGAGCCGGTACACAGCCGCCCAGACTGGAATTGGGGGGTGTTAAATATTGAACGCGGGGAAGTCTATCGCCCGTCTTTGGAGCTGCAAGACGCCCAAAACGACCTTCAGCGGTCCCTTTACCTGCTTTTCAAAACTCAACACCACAACCACAACCACAACCACGCACCCCACAATGCTATTGTCTTCCAAAGAAATCC